CGTGTGTGGCTCCTTTCTTTATTAGTAGTTCAATTCAGACGTTTTGATCCTCGATTTCGATCCTCTTCAATGTATAGATAAAAGTCAATATAAAATTGGAAAGAAAATTTATATTGGCTTTTTCATTTCCTCTCAGATTTATTCTTTGGAGCCTTCACATTATTTACTTTATTATTAAAATAATTATGTGAAAAGGTGTAACGAGAGCTTAAATATAACACGAACAGTACTGCAAAAAGCAGGGTTGCCACAGACCTGGAAAACCGGGGAAAAGTTAGGGGAAAATGTAAAAAAGTCTGAAATTTTGAAATTTGCTCACAATTTCTTTAAACTACTCCTATTCCAGATAATTGTTATAATTTTTTAATATTATATCTGACGTTTATAGTGAAATACGTTCAAAACTCGCACACTTTAAACGATTTTAATAAAATAATTAAAATTTATGTTTTATGCAGTATTTTTATTTGATCGCCCTTTTTCGTAATTGCATTTTTTTCCCAATACTAATTTATTTTTTGTTGGCTTGAATTTGTACCAAAAATTTTAGTACGCTACTAACCTTTTTTGCATTGTTTTTAATAATATATATAGGCTAGCTTTCCTACAATTCTTGACTTTAAATGTGTTGAAATTTACGTATTTTATATTAGAAAATTTTGCATTTTTATCTGGAAAAGCTGGAAAAGTCAGGGAATTTTAAAATTTATTTCCTACGACAACTCTGAAAAAGTTTTAACATTTTAGCAATCAACTTGTTCCTATATTTTGACAGCCCAACAAAATTACTTTTAAATCTGTATTTAGTTAAATTTTCAGTAAATTGTTCTCCCCATGGTATAAGAATATAAGGTGTTCTATTCCCAAGGATGCATAGTCGTCTTGAACATGGCAACTGCTCTTTGACCAGTCAAAACATTACTCCAAATTGTAAAAAGGTATATACTTGCTATCATGTGCATTCAACTAACAATTTGATTGGTTGTTTTAATTTAATCTGCCGCCATAATGCGCAGTGGAATACTTCATATTCTTGCAGCATGATTCTTTCCGTGTAGAAGATCGTTCCTCCGAGATTTTCTACATTTTTGCGTTAAAAATAAAATAACCCAACATATTTTTGCATCGGAAATAAAGTGATTTATTAGACGAGTATTGAAGTATCAATATTTTATTTCCTTTTAAAATACACTTTTCAATAACAAATCCAAGGAAATCCTGGAAATTCCAAGAGTGGATCGACTTAATCTTGCACGAAGTTAGATTATCATCACGTATTTCCTCTTTATTTTCGTAATATCGTTTGATTGACGCTTAAATTGAGTTAAACATGAATTGGAAGTGCCTATATGATTGCGATAAAAGGCGATTAAAGATGCCGCTGTCAATTAACGAATGAAAGCTTAATCGCACTATGTATAAACCGCGAACGGAAGGAATTACTGGAGATTTCTTCCCTGTGGCGTATAATCAAATTAAACGTGACTCTTCGGTTTAAATCCCGTCACTCATTTAAAAAGTAATCTTTAGTTTTACTGAAGATTGTCTCCGTTAACCGTTCTTCATTAGCAAATTGGCCAGCAGAGGTCGGCATCCCTCATTAAAGATACACCGTGCGGCGTATACCGAAAAGTTCTCGAACTAATTTGCCGTAACTCCCTCTCGCAAAAGGCTCTCTCCTTCCTTTATATTAAATAAAAATTTCACTAATGGCATTCTTGTACAGCGTCCAATTTGCGAAGATTACATTCCTCGCCAAAGGATCGAAGGAGGCTAACTATCAATAAGCTCGGAGGGACACTTCCTTTAATCGCGCGTCTTCATTTCCAATTATTACTTTTATCGGAATTCTGATCTCGAGACGTTGGATTCACTGTTATTCTACGTCGCGTACTACCAACGCTCCTTTATCTATATTAACACGAGGCCGCCTACAATCGGCGCACAATGGCTTAAGCACATCTCTATTATGAGAGATAGATTCTATCTCTATTATGTACAAGGCGCAAAGGACGTTAGGTATAAAGGCACATGTTCATTCCTGCTGCAGAATTCGCTGGCAAACGTTCCGAATGACGTTACACAAGATCGCAGACGCGTGCTTCGCTCACAGTTCGCCGACAAGTTGTTAACAAACAACTAATTAACGTTATGAGCTCGAGACGAGGAGAGCCTCGGGTGCGATCGTTAGTGCATCTACTGTTTCGTCCGATGAAAAATCGCGGCCCGCGGATCTTGATTTAGGGGGATCGATCGATCGTCCCGTCGTTGTTTGTACTCCCCCTCCCCCCCTCCACCATTTATTCGCATGGTGAGAATTCGTTCGATTTTCCAGCGCTTTTCCGCGCGGGCCGCAACAATATCGCGCATCTCGTACGATGCGCCATTACTAATTGCCGGCAAGCCTGCCGTTGTCATGTGTGCGTATTTGCGTGCACTTCACTCGGCGGCATCACAATCGGCGGGCGTGCACAATCGTATTATCGACTATTGATTTCGGAAGGCATCGACTTGTACCGCTCGTCAATGCCGTCCACGCGCGAAACGTATCGATTCCTTCCTTCGGTACAGCTCGGCGCAAAGCGAACAGCGACACGCATCATCGCGAAAATTCGATCATTCTTCGTCCGTTTGAATAATTACTCGGATTATACATGATCGTTTTCTCAGATTTCTCTTAATATTAAGTATCTTATTGCGTTCTTTACGTTTGAGCTGTTGGGTGAAACAGCAATAAATTGTGTGACTAAGAAATGATTTTGCGCGCTAAAATATCGAAAGATTTAGCTAAATAGATTTGAAAGTAATTTGACTTTGGACCATCAAAATAATTATACAGAAACGACGATGCGAAAAGTTTTAACACTCTAGCAACCAGTTGGAACGTTCTGCGTAATTATTTTGATGGTCTTAGATAAAACTATTTCCAGATCTATATCTAAATTTTTAGACACTTTAGCCAAATCGTTTTTTTTTTTTTTTTCGTGTAGTAAATAGCTTTTTTAATCCATTTACAGTAAAATCTCACTTTCTCTTTTTTTATGTTACGTTGCAATAATTGTACTCAGGGAATATAATAATGTACAAATATAATTTTTTCTCTTCTGCAGACACAATCTATATTATGTTTCGTCCAACGACTCTTAGAATAATATTAACAAACTAACAGTATTCTCAATCATCTAGTCTTTTATGTGTTTACAATTTGTATTATGTTTACAATAACGCATTAACAATATTTTGGCGATACTGGACTATTTATGCAGGCATATTTAATATATTCAAAGACTTGCTTCTCGGCGGAGATCTCGACAAGAAAATAATTAAAGCGCAGTTGAATTTTTTGCACTGCTCTCGTAGTCTTTGTTCAATACGGAAAAAAAAAAAACAGTTTTACTGAAGTATCTAAAATTCAGCTAGATATAGGTTTGAAAATAATTTCGTTGGACCATCAAAAATAATAGACTTTAACGCTTTAAACATTGACGATAATGCTGCAAAAAATATTAACATTCTAATAATCAGTTTAACCATCCAACGGCAACTTTAACTGTTCGGTCAGCAAAGGATCTTTAAGAAGCAGAGCAAATTTTTTATTGTTTCGAATTATATCATACAGAATTAGATTATATAAAAATCCCCAAAATTTTGATATACTCGTCAAAGTTTTAACAATCATCATAAAAATCGGATGATATTTTATACATACTTATTTTCACAACTTTATCTACCAAAATTCACAATCGAAATATCAATAGCCTTTAAAAGCTCCAATTATTGGAGTGTAAAGTGTTCTATATAATTATTTTGATAGTCCAAAACAGAATTATATTCAAAGCTGTATGTAGCTAAATTTTTAGATACTTTATCAAAACCGTTATTTCCGTGCAGATTGACAAATTCAGCTTACAAAACGTCACTACTCAATGACAACCGCAATGTCCATCAAATAGATTATAGTGCGATCGAAGCGTCGTCCACTGGAGTCGTGTTTGAGTTTGATAATCTATCATGAAGCACTTGGTTGATTTTCCTAGGTGTGTTAGTGACACATTGCCCGTGATAGTTCTCTATGATGGTACTTCCATCGTCTAACGATCAACTTACAAGGCTTCTTATCCATTGACGAGACGGGTGATAGAAAGAAAGAGGAGATGGAGAGAGAGAGAGAGAGAGAGAAGGATGCCTGTCGACAAGAGACGTTCATAAAGCACCGATCGAAAGAAGAGACTGAGGAAGACGCTTTGGCTTTCTCGCAATCTAGAGCAGGATCTCATCAACGATTAAGAATCACATCGAAGGTGCAGGACGCTTTTCTGCGTCAGGCAATTCCTCCCATCAGAAGGGAGGGCTGATCACATCACAGACGGAAGTCGCTCCACCTCCGGTTTCTCTTTTATCGATGCAGCGGTGCTCATCACGAACGTATCCATTCCTTCATTTCCTCCCGTTCTGGAATGGGGGAAATGTTCTTTACCTTCGACGAAGATCGTTTCGATATTCATTGGCCGAAGATTTATCCATCGGTAATTTCCCCAGAATCGCTCGTCGCGCGATTCAGCGGCTCGAGTGTGCTGTCGTCGATGGCGGCCCCCCCGCGATTCTCTTTCGCGACGACCTTTCGCAGAATTCACGATTGTCACGAATAATCGCGCCGTCGTGTTCTCGCGATCGTCAGATGCTCTCCTCGTTTCCTTTGAAAGTTCCGCAATCGTGAACGGGGCTCGGGGCATCCCACGCTAGCTTCTATTGATCGATATGATGGAATAGTTAAGTGACTGCGATTGCTTTCGCATGTCGGAAAAAGATACGAAGATCCGAGTCACAGATTTATTAAGGAGAGAAAATAATTGTCTGCGCGTATCCGGAGATATGTTTTCGTAGACGACGGTAATCTCGCGCAGCGTTTCTACGATTCCTCTGTATTGCGAGGAAAACACTTTCCTTCTAGGGCAGTGATCGTGTTTTCCCCTCTTTCTTTCTTTCCGAGACGCGTATCGCGTGCCGTTCGTCCGCTTTCTTCATTTCCTACGCACGAATATATTCTCTAGGAGCTCCTTCGTGATCAGTCGATGAGGTCTCGTCGGGCTCTCGGTGGGCGTACCGTAAAGTCGACTGTTGATGGCGTAGAGCTTCGGGCTGAGCTCGCACCTTACGTTGAACCACCAGTCGCAGACGAAGACCGCCTGGCTGAATTGCGTGCCGTTCGGACAGAGAAACGTTGCTTGTCGACCGTCTATGTCGCAATAATGCCATGCTTGGCATCTCGTCTCCACGTCGGCGAAGAAGCCGGGGAAAGACTGGTCGTCGCAGTAGAAATTCGTGTAAGGTACCTTTCCCAGCACTGGATAATCCGTGCCTGGTCGACCTGCAATTGCAATGAATGCCGTAAGTTCTTCTACTTCTAATGTGATTGATCCAAGTACTTTAAAAGTGGTTTAGCAACTATTAAATTGACAGAACTAAAATATATGTGTATGTATATATATATATATATTGTTTTTTTTTTAATATTAATGATATTTACTGAATTGAAATAATAATCAATATTTTAACCGTGCAGTTTTTGAGTGTGTTTTATCGTTCTCCTTGATATCATGTTTAATTGTACATTCGAGATTCTAAATAATTTACAGATTATTCCGGCTGTAATTTCAGCACTCACGGATTCCCTTTGTGTGAACTCGCAAGCGCATATAAAGCGCCAAGCGATCTAGATGAGTTAGCTACTTGAATGAATGCAAAATTAAACGAGTGCAACCACAATCTTCTTTGCCTTTTCTTTCTGTTTCCGTTTTCATTTTTTTGCGTTTGCAACCGCAACAGCATTCGAATCTCATCGGAAAATCACAATTTCTCGTATAGCTTTATCAGACAATGGTGCGATCGGAAACTAAGACGGAATATTTATTTAAATAAAATGTTGAAAGATAAAAGAAAAAGCAAATTAAAATGTAAAAATGTATAGGTTTTTTTTTAATATCTCGTATTTATATAATTTTATGCTTGTATTAAAAAATTGCACTTGAAATAATTTTTATCTATACACGGAAAGAATTATTTCGCTGAAATATCTAGAAATTTAATTGGATATAGATTTGAAAATAATTCCGTTGAATCATTAAAATAAAATTATGGAGGCTCAAACTAGTTGCTAAAATATCGAAATTTTCTGTAATTTTATTCATCTTGCTCGAGTTTTTTACATAATTATTTTGATGGTTCGACAAAATTATTTTCAGATTTGTATCTATGTAAATTTTAGATATTCTAGTAAAATCATTCTTTTCATATAAATTTAGTTTTATGAATGATACTTCACGCTGGATGTGAAGATAAAAAATTACATTTTTCTAACTTTGTTAAAATTCTCTACATATTCGGAATTCTTTCCCAAAATCAAAACCGAAATATCTTCAATGTAATATCATCAAACATAAGTAAATAATCTAAGATTACGAAGAAAATGATGTCTCGACTAAAGGAAATGGAATAAAGGATAAACAACTTGAAGCTATTCGCGTTGTGGTTGGAACTCCGTGGTTCGAAGGTACCGTTCGAGAAAGTAGTTCGAGAAAGTACACTGTTAACTTTATAATGTCTAATTATATCTAATTTGAGTTATTATTAATTATTTCTATAAGTTGCCACTGCTGAATATGTCATTACTTTAGCTAAACCAATGGAATTAAATAATTTAACTCAAGAGAATGTATTAAATTTGATTCAAATTTAGTTTATTATTTACTGAATGCATATGTTAATATTAGAGATGTGTGAGATCTCGAAAATTCTCGAAATCTTGATGCTTGGGACGAAAATATTCTGATTTCCTAAGAATCTTCGAGATATCTGGTACTGTACAGAAATTTTTAATATTGTTTTTCCATCACAATCTATACTATTAATATTTCTAGTACTGGATTTTCTCCAAAAATATCCTATATTTTTACTTTTCTGTCTTTATTTATGGTACACTGAAAGAAAAGATTGGCTGCTGCAGCAAATTAAATGGTTAAATATGGCATAACATTTTTAATTGGTTGCAACAGCCAATTTTTGATTGCTGCAACTAATTAAAAATGCTATGCCATATTTTACCATCTAATTTTCTGCAGCAGCCAATCTCTTCTTTCGGTAAAAGAGACATTTTCAGAAATCCCAAACATTCTCGGGTAACCAGAACACTTTCGGGAATCCCGAACATTCTCGGGAATCTCGAAAGTTTCAAAATCCCGTCCCGATCCCGAAAAACATTCCCATTCCCGACCCGATTCTTGCACACCTCTAGTTAATACGGACGTCGTTTACTTCGAAAGTCCAATCCGATCT